TTCTTCCTGGCGCAAGCAGATTTCTAGCTTTGCTCTTTCTTTTCTGTGATCTGACGCGGTGCGAGCAGCTTGCTGAATCGTTTGGCAAATTGAGATACTGCCTCCTTACTTGGCGTTCCAGCACAAAACATTAGTATCATTCGTAATGCTTACATGATTACAGAAGACAAGGACGGATTGTTCCTGTGCGGCCAGGGTCGGCTGGCACACAGTTTCGAGTCGTATCCCGAACAGCCACTGTTGAAGGACATTCGAAAGGAGTCCTGTCAGTGGCTGCCACGGAAGATCTTCTTCTTTCTGGTTCAAAAGGTATGTTCAGCGGCACCATCTACTCAAATACAGATTGGTGGGGTTCTGGTGCAGTACACTAATCAAGGATCATTGTCAAGTGATATACCAAAGCCCGCTGCAAAAGGTGTCTTTCAAAGCGAAATCATTCCCCCAGAAGATGGATGCTGCTAGGGTCGCCACGCCCATTAGCTTGATTGGTTGAAGTGGTGGGTCCGAAACTGGACCCTAGACTGTCCAAAAGTTAAGAGATCACGTTTTACCGAAAATATGATTGTTTGCTCTTGACATCGCTCAATACTGAAGTGGTTTTGGACCTATTACCCTTGGTCCACCCATGTTGAGGGCGTGGCGACTCCAGCAGCAACCATCTTTTGAAGCGATGTTCTCGCTTTATATCACACCTTTTGTAATGGGACTTGAAGTGTATTGCGTCAAAATTTCGCCAACCTCAAATTTGGGTGATGGTATAGCTGATCTTCTTGCGAAGTTCAACTGTTCCACTCCTAATTCTAGATCGAACCGCAAAGCTATGGGATCTTCAAACTGGAAGTGAAGTCCGAACCCTTGGTGTACATCCAAACAATGTCCATGCTGTACGGTTCATCCCTAACTCACAGCTCGCCATCTCTGTGTCGATGTATCAAGTACGTTCCTAAATTTGGCCGCGAACATTTTGCAGCCAAAATTTGCATTTGCAGATTCGTATTTGGGATCTAAGGACGCAAGAGTGCTTGAGAGTGCTTCAGTCAAGTGGACAAGTGAATGATGGTGGGATTTATGTTTTTTGTGATGTACTCTAGTGTTATCGAAATCTTTCTAGGTGATGGAGGCCCAGCTGGATCACGCCAAAATACCGTACCGTTCCTGGAGACCGTGGTGAATGCTGCTGAAGTTGACCCCTCGGGTCGGTTACTCTTCACCTCATTTGGTGGAGATGTACGAATTTGGAATCTGGAGAAGTGGGCCTCGTTTGGAAGACTTATTGGAGCAGTTAATAGTCCAAGGTGGATTGAAGTTACTAGAAAGATCATATGGACCTCAATCATGTAAAATTTAGATCTGAGGTTTCTTGTTTGGCCGTATCTGAAAATGCCGACGGTTTGCCACAGATATTCACTGGCTCGAGAGATCATTATGTGAAAATGTTCCAGACAAGCGTTGGAGGTATCATTTTTGGTTATAATAGTATACCAAATCTCGCGAAATTCAGGACCCCTAACTTTATTTTCTTCTATGAATTGAATCAGAAATTTATGGAATGCCGTGTATATGGCTTCTGTACATATTGGACAGTCTCAGAAAAAGTTTTGGATGTTGATGGTTCT